ATCAGCCTTCAGATATTTCAGGGCTATGGAAAATCAATCCAGTGTCTCTGAATTTTTCCTCCGAGGAATATCTGAGTTGCCAGACCAACAGCAGTTACTCTTTGGAACTTTCTTGTGTATGTATCTTGTTACCTTAATGGGGAATGTGCTTATCATCCTGGCCATTGCCTCTGATCCTCATCTGCACACCCCCATGTACTTCTTTTTGGCCAACCTTTCCTTTGTTGACATGGGTTTGATATCTTCTACAGTTATCAAGATGCTAGTGAATATACAGACCGAGCATCACACCATTTCCCATACTGGCTGCCTAACACAGATGTATCTCTTTCTAATGTTTGGTGATCTGGACAGCTTCTTCCTGGCTGTAATGGCATATGACCGCTATGTGGCCATTTGCCATCCTCTACACTATGCCACCACCATGACTCCTCAAGTCTGTATCCTGCTGCTCACTTTGTGCTGGGTCCTTACCAACATAGTTGCCTTGACTCACACACTTCTCATGGCTCAGCTATCCTTCTGTGTTGCTGGGGAGATAGCTCACTTTTTCTGTGACATAACTCCTGTCCTGAAGCTGTCATGTTCTGACACCAACATCAATGAGTGGACACTTCTCATCTTAGGAGGCACAGTCCTTGTTGTTCCCTTTATATGCATTGCTATCTCCTACATCCACATTGTGTCTACAATCCTCAGGGTCCGAGCCCCTGGTGAGGGGAACAAGGCCTTTTCCACCTGCAGTTCCCATCTCTGTGTTGTCTGTGTTTTCTATGGGACCCTCTTTAGTGCTTACCTGTGCCCTCCCTCTGTTGTCTCTGAAGAAAAGGACATTGCTGCGGCCACCATGTACACAGTGGTGACTCCCATGTTGAACCCTTTTATCTACAGTCTAAGGAACAAAGACATGAAGAGGGCCCTAAAGAGGCTCCTTGGTCACAGGAGAAGGATTTCCTCTTAGATATCATGATAGTATGTTTGATGAAGTGTCATAGGCTGAGATTCAAACAAACAGACTTCTGTCTGGGACCTACCACACACTAGACATAGGATCATCATCAGTTACTTAAGCTCTCAGAACTTGAATTTTTCTTATATATAAAATAGAAGGGGTCGGGGGTTTGATCCTTGGGCTTTCCATGCTGGTTCCACCCCTGGGGCATGCTGAGATGGCAATTGAGACTGGGTGTGTGGCACATCCCTGTAATCCCAGTTCTTGGGAGGCTGTAAACAGGTGGATCACTACAAGTCCAATCTAGTAGTGAGAACCTGAACACCCTGTAGACCCTTTTCTAAGATGCAAAAATAAATTTAAAAATAAATAAAAAATATAGTTAATAATTTCTATCTCATAAGATGACCTAAAGGATTAATTGAGATAAACCATGAATACATATATTTAGTGTAGTGGCATGGGTAATCCTAATCATAAGTAGAATGTATTCAACAAATAAAGTGGTTATTATTCCTTCCCAACTCAGAAGCAAAAAATCTTTTCTCTAATATTCATTTGTTCAACAAATACTTATTAAATATTTACTATGTGCCAGGAGCTAAGTTTTAGAGATGTAACACTGAAGAGACATGATATTTACTTTCATGACTTTTCATTCTGGGATATCAATTTATCAATCAGTGAAAGTTTAGAGGTACTTATGTTCTTTATAGGACTAAGTGGAGGTTAAAGGAAATAAAAAATAAAGCTTACAATCTAGAAAACACAGAATACAGTTGTCTTCAGAAGAAGTTTAAATTTAGATTTTCATGCTTATTGCCCAAATTAGTAATTTGCTGAGATTTCATCAGGAACTGGTGTTAGAGTCCTTTACACTGCCTGTGCCCTCGCTGGTCAGAAATGTTAAAGGGCAGCATCCTGTCTTGAGATCTTAGGTGAGAATACTAAAACTACTCATATTTGGCAAGGGTCATCTCTTATTTGAAATGGATAATCATCTATCTATCTATCTATCTATCTATCTATCTATCTATGTATTTTAGTACAGGGCCTACAGAGTCTCACTACACAGATTGGACTCATAGTGATCTTCCTGTTTTCAGCCTCTCAAGTGCTGGGATTACAGGCTTGAGCCACCACTCCCAGTCTCAGTCTCCATTTTAGCGAGCCCCGGGGGTGGGGCCAGCACTGCACACCGGGGATTGAACTATGGTTGTTGCATCTGCCTAAGCAGGTGCTATAGTCTGCTGAACTGTCTGGCCTGCCCTTGAAATGAGTAATCTTAAAGAATAGAAATTTGAGGTCCAGGGAGATAGCTCAGTGCCATAAGTACCCACCTAGCAAGCATAAGGTCCTGAGTTCATGGCCTGGTATAAAAAAAAGAATAGAAACTCGAGCTTAAGGATCAAGGGTGAGCATATCAGGGGTTTCTTTGAGTTCAAAAGGCATCAACAGCTTAAATTAATTGCAAAGATAAAGAAAATGACGTTATGAGCACATCAGGGTTCTTTTACCTCCAAGAATTTATGAATATTAAAAATATTTGTAAAAATTAAAGGTCATACAATTTTCATTTCTTACATCTGGTATATCCAAGTGTACACTATATATCTGCCTATGCATCCCTTTTCATTGAAGCTTCTTTCCCAGACTCAACCTAACTTAAAATGTTGCATGTTTCCCACACTTTATCAGTAAATAATTACTGAGCATCTTTCATGTAATCAAGTTGTCCCAGGCTTCTGCACTGGTGTCTATGTCAATCATTTAGGCTAGCATGCAACTCTTTTTTTATTAATTCTATTGATAAACAGATAGCAATGAGACAGTTTCAAATCAAATCGCTAGGACAGTTTCAATAACCAACACACTGCATACATTCTTCTTAGAGGTTAATTGCTGTACAAGATGTGGACTTGAGATCCTATTTACAAACACCATTAGAACAAATCATTCTATTCATTAAGAGAATGTAACTATATATCTATCCTATCCACTTTGAATAC